TACTTTAAATGACAAATAAAATTTGGTCTACTACTTACAAATGAATCAGATTTTTCATTAACACAAGAATTGGTATCTTCAACACAACAACAAATAACAGGTCGTACAGCTAGTTATTCTGAATATGATCCAGTTAAATGAAAAAACTGATTTACTTGAACATTTAAATATTGATCAACATGGAAATAAATAAGAGCACATACCACCATTAAATTCTGATGATTAATAAATTTCTAGTGCATTAAAAATTCTTGCTGAAAGATTTTCCCAAATTATTTTCGGGTTTAAAATAAAAGATCCAAGAAAGAACTATACATTTACATCCAAAGAACTTACTGAACAATATCATTAAGCGAACTTTATTGATCGATCGATTATTAATGTTTATAAATCAGCTACGTATATTAAGTTTATATAAATTTAATAAATAATATTATTATTTTAGAAAATATAAAGCAGCAAGTCAATATGAAGTTATTCAAGATGCTGATCGTATACAAAGAGCATTAGCAAAACGTTGTTTAAATGCACCAGATAATATCAGATTTGCAGATGAAATGGAAAAATTTGTAGAAAACTTTGATCTGTAAGATTATAATCATTCGTTTTAACATTAAGCATCTTTCAAGATAGGTTTTTGTAAAACTAAATCAAGAAAAGTTATTTTTCATTTTAATGAACATATACTTTCAATCTTTTGTCTCCGTTGTTTATCGATTCTATGTGCTGATAATTATCAATTTATTGATGATCATAGAATAACATTAAAAATAATTCTGTTTAATCTAAGTGCAAATGTAGTTTCGCAAATGCAACAATCATCTGAAGATTCGGTGAATACAATAAATAATGAAATGACTGACATGATTCAAAAATCAACTCAATTAAAATGATATCAACATAATTTAGTTAAAACAACTTATTTTCTTCATACAGTACAATTAATATTTTATTGTTTATCACCAAGTGTTACATTTGCTAAAAATTTAAAATTAGCTCGATCGTGAGTTTTATGATATTAAAATAAATAAATCTAAATTATTTGATTACTTAAAATTTAATTTTTGCACCTAATACACTTGCACCATTAGCAACTTATTCTGGTGAATTAAAAATTTCATTTGATATTCAAATGGGTAAAATATTATTCTTTTCTTTCAATTATTTAAATAAATTTTCTTTTAGAATGTAGTCATGCTGTTGATATACAGCGTACATCTAAAATAGGACTAAATCATGGACGAAACCCTCCCATATGTTTGACTGCGATCAAATTGCGACGCAGTTACGCGTAACTGAGCTCGCACTGTGATCCGTAATTGCGAAAAATTGCGACGCAGCTACGCGTAACTGTGACGCAGTCGTTAAAAAAGTGACGACATGGGCTAAAATAAAATTACGAGCAACATGTCAAAATATAGATATAATTTGAATATCAAGTAGAAATGTTTTCTTTTGGTTTGTTTTATTAATAGAAATTGTATTAAACGAGGAATTTGGTCTTGTTGTACTTGATATTTGTCCACGTGTACTTTATGGTGTATTTTATTTATTAGATGTAACTCCAACGAAAGTTGAACAATTAAATTATCCACAATGTTATCCAATTCTTATATGTTTTAAAGCAACTGATCAACGTTAAGTAAAATAAATCCGTCATGAATATGAAAGACTTAAACAAAAATCTTCATGACGTTGATTTGAATCATCTAAACGTATAGAATTTTATATGCATATTTTAACAATGACAATTATGCAAAAAAAGTATTCAGGAGAGGGAGCAGTAGAAAATAAATAAGAAAAAGTCGAATATATAACTGCTATGAATAACATGCTTTTTTTATTTTAAACTGCAATAATATAATATTCATGCTTTCGTGTTCTTGTCTGAATATATCATCAGGAATGACAATATGAAAGATTACATGAAATGAAAAAGTAATTAAAGCCAAAACAAGAACGTCACTTGGTTATTTGTAATTACAATTTACAATTGAATAAGAGTATAAGTTACCCAGCTCGATCAAAGCGGAATACGATTATGGTCCGTTTTTCGTCAGTAAACGATAAAAAAACGTCTACTTTGGGGTCATTTATTGTCTGTATTTTCTCGTAATACTTGACGCAGTAATACAACACCACCTTTTGGCTGTATCCAGGCGTATTTGTGCCTTTATCTCACTATGATACGGCCGTATAACTGCGTCAAGTATTCTGATTGCATTAGTCCGTCTATACGTCGTATTTTCATCGTAAACGACTGTATACGGACCGTATTGTTCGACCTGAGTAGTTCTTTGTGTTTATAATTTAATAAGAATATAAGCCTTTTTTATATATGTTTTCATTTGAATAATGAAATGGTGGAGCGCGTGGAATATTATTGTTATTGCTGTTGTTGTTTTCTGTAGCAATATTCTAAACAAAATAAAAGATAAAGATAAATTTAATAGAGTAGTAAAAAAAGAACATGCTAGAGAGCATTCAAGTATGATACTACTTAACAGAAATGAAATCGATCTGAACTTTAGATGCCCAGTACTGATCATATCGAACCCAACCACCAGTCTACTGATCACCATCGATATATCAGAGGATCTGAAATCCGTACCGGTACCAGTTGCATCTCTGTTATATAATCAGTTTTGGGTAGAGAAAGAGGAATGGTCAACAAATTATTTTCTTTGATTATTTTAAGGAGAAAGACTTTCAGCAAAAATTTTGCTGTCATTTGGAAAGGTACGGTAGACTTTTACAGAGAGGTCAAGAAACGTAATAGTGCTTTGGAATAGTTTACCGGCCGATGCCCAATATTCGTTGATAAAGCAAGTCTGTGGAAGTAATATTAGAAAATGTATGAAATATAGAGTAATCAGCTTTTGCATAAGACGAATGATCACACACCAAACATTTTCTGATGCATACGGTGACTTTTAGATTCGTCCAAGAGAAGAAGGAAGATGTCGTAAACATTAATTATAAGTCAGATAAATTGTGATTTTCTCAATCAATCACTTACTGTAATACTCTCGTTTTCAATAGACTTCATGTCTTTTGAAGTTATTTTTCAGATGACTGTTGCATGTGGGTGTATAATGAGTTTCAGGAACGACAAGAAATATAGCTCATACTATTAATCCATTAGTTTCTAGTCATTTGGCATTCTTATCATTTTCCACTTGTGTATGTCAACTAATACCGTATTGAAAGATAATATTCGATAATGAAAATATTGACTTGGTAAATAAACAATATACTTGACGATACACCTTTTTAAGGGATATCTTTCTCAGAATAACGATCAAAATTTGATTTCTAAAACAATTCTTGAGTCTGATGAAGAACCAAGGAGGATTTCCGAGATTTTCTCTTCATTTCTCCTATATCAACTTTCAAGAAGTGAAACTAGAGAAAGTCTAAGCCAAAACAAGTAATTTGGTGCTATAGAAAAACCATTTTAAACATTATTGTCATATCTACGAATGAATGTTCTCTAGATTTTGAAGAGTTCTGATTCCACACGAATGAATACAGCCTTTTTTGACATCCGTTTTTCTGGTTTAGAGAGCATCTTCAACATATTTCACATTTGTTTTGGAAAATTTTAAAAAGTGACTAGAGATTGATTCAAATCAGTGACCATGAGCGAAGATCTGAGTCGATCTATTAATTAAGCTGCCGTCGCCACCAATGCTTCAATAATCCAACCACCCTGCTTTTGTTAACGAAACTATTTTCCAATGATTTGAGTCGTCGCCTCTCCTGCGCAAAAATATACACTAGGGTTTTTAAAATTTTCTACTCTCAGGACCACTTTTCAGAGATATCGTTGTCTAATTTCTCATCAGTATGTTTTCCGTAGTCATGCTTTTTCCTTCTTGATGCCAAAATTTCTTGGAAGAAAGAAAAGTTTTGAAAAAAGCTCGAAAATTTTCAGCTCCTATCGAGAGATAAATATATTTAATATCTTTATTTGTTACCTCTAAAGTTTGAGACTTCTGTAGCTGCCAGCAAAAGTAGAAGAATTCTATATTTAGCCGCCAGCGGTCTAGGTATTCGCATACATTTCTAACTGTGAACCATCTACTTTTCTATGTTCTGCAAAACCAATCATTTATAATTGTTACACATTGATCAGTATTAACGACTGGTATTAATATCATTCCTTTGGTTTTTTCAGTAGATAAATGAATTAAACAATCAGTAACGCATGAGACAACGAGAGAGGAAAATATCTTTGACGCAACATTTCATTTATATGAATGTGTATAAAAATATCAACATTTTCTAATGAGGACGGCATCATATTAAATAAATTTCTGTCTTCCCCGGTCATCTTTACAGCAAACCCTCTCCCCTCGTAATTACGTAATATGTGACTTGTCTCTTAGTATTTTCATGCAGAGAAAACATATAATATGGAATTACACCTACTTGTCGATTATCAAGGTTGATGAATTGAAGATGAATAGTTGTCGAACAGAAAATAATCGTATAAAAAACGGTCTACTTTCATCATTTTTATATGGAGCACATTCTTCTGGTTTTCTTTTTTGCACATCAGTTCAGATATTGAATTGAGAGCATATCAGACTATAAAATGATGCCGCAAAATATGTGGATCGAAATTTTCATAAGGAAGACGAACAAAGAAAAGTTAAAGAACAAAACATGATCAGTGCACCAGCCACCTCGTGGGCATTGTCTCAATATCAAAATATATCGCTAGATAACACTATATGCAAGACATAGTTTTATTACATTATCATTACATTGATATATGTCCTTGAAGATGAAATCTATCACACTTCACTCTTCTCCTTTCCGAGTCTATTCTGTTATGAAAGGCTTCCGTACAGAAAAATATGCAAAACCCTTCAGAGATGCAAGTAATACTTTTATTCACCTTGAGTCATAATAGTGTCAGCACGATCGATTAAACGAAAAGTAGTTATGTGATTTTGAGTAAATATAGAAAAGATTGATAGTTCAGGAAATTAGTAACATTGAGATTATTGCTCATTTATTTTATTTGATTTAAATATCAGAACTTGCCAAGATTGAATCATTACGTCATCACCTCTAGAAACGTTTTTTTTATTCGGCTTTTTCTCGACTATATACTTTCTGTCGGTGATCTTTTCGTTAATTTCTTCAATTGATGTCATCATGTATTATAAGGTCTTTCAATCGAGTTTTATATAGAAAAATTAATTATCGTTTTAGCAACCATTATGTCGGTTATCAGTTCGTTTTTGGACGTGAGTGTGGGTGCGGGTCTAGGTGTTGGTATTCATTGCACAAACACCCACACCCAGTAATAGGTCTGCAACAATGCCTTAAAAACTTGAATGGAAAACAGAATGAAGAAGCTGACAATCAATTAATGTGTGCACTATTTGGAAATATAAAATCGACTGGTGATCTTAATGCCATATATTTATTCAAGCAGATACGTTAGAATGCATGGAGTATTGAAAAAATTCAAAAACAACTGGAAGATCCAATCAACCAAACAACAATCTATCACATCGGTTACTATTACCTGGTAAAAATATAATAAATTTAAAGTGACAATCGATGTACCGATCGATCGCGTACAGCAACAGCTAAACAAGCACGATACACATAGTTGAACAATATGATGTAGAGACTGAAGCATAGTCTTTCTAAGATGAATAATCCGACTCATGGTGAATAATACTAGTTGTGTAACATATGCATGCATCTATAAGAAGTGGAATCGTCGCTTAGTAAGTACTACTATACCTCTATTGAGCCCCGTGGATTTCCCTCGAAGAAGTCTCGTTGTTCGTTTTTCGCTTTTTATGTCTTCAGAATTGCTTTATGCTTCACTCTTCTAATACTGCTGCCTCTTTCTGATCTTTCTATA